AGGAATCTACATTTTCTTTCTTTTTCTTTTTTGTTATTTGTAATGAAATTGATAATTGTTGATTGATATGTATATAAAGGTATATGATACTCTTTTCAAGATCACAAACAATTTCTAAGATATTGATTACAAGACATCTTTAAAATCTCCTAAATTCTTCTTTACGTTAAATATGTTTTTAGTCCCTAAACTATCAAGCGAATTTGTTTTTAGTCCCTCTTTCAAACTAAGCTGCATTTTGATCCTTCTTCTTAAGTAAAGGATAATTTTTTGTCCTCCAAAACTAACGGCGTTAAAAATAAGCTGAGGTGACTAACGGTGGTGTGTCACGCCATTTTTCTTTTCTGACACCAGTTAATCTTTCTCAGCTCCTATCCCTCCCTTTCCCTCCGACTCTACCATAGCCACCTCCGGGGCCACCATCAACCGCGAAACCCCCATGCGCAACCACCCTCCACCACGCTCACTTACATGGCCAACGTAAAACCTTCATCTCCACTGCTCAGAAAACCCCCAAATCGCGTATTAGTTCATCTCCTCCCACCACCACAGAGACCCAAATAAAAAAACTAAAATTACCCAAACCTTCATCGCGATCTCTTCTTTCATTAACCCAATTTGCACAAGAATCGCAAACCTGCAAACAACAAGCATCAAAAATTTAATAAAACTTATTTTCATGCTCGTGACAGAAACCGACATCAATACTTTAATAAATTGTTTACATGCTTCTGACACAGATAGCACCACGCAACCCATATTGCATTCTGGATTTGTTAATAATTAACAAGAAAGGTACTTGATTCAGAGGAGCAGAATGATGGATCCTTAACCTTTTCTTGCTGGGCTCGGTTTCCACTCCTTTTAGATGTTTTCAACTGCTTGTCATAAATCTCATACTTCTTATTCATCTCTTTATGACACTGTTCGTATCCACTCTCAAAATCATCAAAATTTCCACGATAGAAATGAAGTTTCAAATCATGGAGATGAATAATCTGAATACATAATGTATTGAGAAAATCTATATCATGTGAGACAACTACCAAAGTTTTCTTCCAACAGCACAAATACTCTTCCAACCCGAGAACAACCCTCAGGTCGAGATTATTTGTGGGTTCATCAAGTAATAATAGCGTTGGTTGTACAAAAAGTGCTCGAGCTAAGGAAATTCTCATTCTCCAGCCACCACTGAAGGATTTTGTAGGGCGGCCTTGCATATTCTTTGTAAAACCCAAACTGGCTAATATCTTTGATGCTTAAGCTTCAACAGCATCAGATCCCATCAACTGCAGTTTTTAATATATGCCTTAGGTACCGGTATCTTCCTCCAGGCAAGAAGTTTTAGCAGTGTGGACTTGCCCTTTCCATTAGGTCCAACCAAACCATAGCTCTTCCCATGAGATATCTTCACTAATGCATTCACTAGTGTAGAATTGGCCTTTAATGTCACCCAATAGACGTCCGTCCATAAAAACACCAACGTAAATAATTGACCGGTGACATATCGGTAAATAAGTGGGACTGTAGACGTCCGTTGTGGGGGGGCCCCGACATCTATAATATTATAAACGTCAGGGCCCCTCTAACGAACGTTAGGTGGCTGAAAAAGTTAACTCTTCAACTACCCTGTCAGCAACTTAAACGTCTGTTGTGGGGGGAGGGACGGACGTCTATAATATTATACACGTCAGGGCCCCTCCAATGGACGTTTAAGTGGTAGTTTGAAGAGTCAAATTTTCAGCCACTTAAACGTCCGTTAGAGGAGCCCCGATGTGTATAATATTATAGACGTCCGGCAGCCCCACAACGGACGTTTAAGTTGCTGACAAGGTAGTTGAAGAGTTAACTTTTTCAACCACTTAAACGTCCATTAGAGGGGCCCCGATGTTTAAAATATTATAGACGTTGGGGCCCCCCACAACGGACGTTTAAAGGGCTGATAGGGTAGTTGAAGAGTTTAT